GAATATGATGACGGTGATGAAAGTGAGCTCCATAAGGATACAGATTTTGTCTGAGAACAGTTCCCTGATGTGTTTCCAGTACCTAAAACAATGCCTGGGACAACACCAGCCTTAATGCCTATTTGTTCAATGAAAAGCACAGGCTTGCCTTTAAGTTGCCTTGAATCTAGTAGACAAGACAAGCATATATTGGGTTGGCCAAAAAGTCCCCATAGTTTTTTTCCATAAACTAAAATATACATTTTTCACTTTCACCAATAACTTTATTGATTTGGATATTTTGATTATGTTGGCTATCTTCCACAGGGTTGATTGTTCTCAGTTAACACCTCAGTTTGACTGCTGTCAATGTCAACTGTTCTATCAATGGTGTAGCATCGTCCAGTGAGAAATCTCCAGCATGAAACTTCTCAAAGCACTTTTTACACATTTGATCAGTCACAGCACCTTCTCCATCCACTGCACAAATCTTTTTTGTGTTTTTCAGTTGCATTTTTACCTGTCTTGAAATAATAAAGCACAATATGCCAAAAATGTTGCTTATTTTCTTCCATCTTCAATATTAAAATGGCTACACAAAAATTCACCCATTTTGATAAGTTTTTTTATATGCCCACTGATATGACAGCTGTCACAATACAATCTGACAAAATTGTTTTGAATGAAGTTAAAGACAACTAAGCACTAGTAGAGCCATCTTATAGGAAAAAAAACACAAATGAATATTTTGGCCAACTAGTATATTAAAAATTCAGTGGCAATTTCAAAGGTGTCAAGTACAACGATGGAAAATCACACAGGAAGCACAGAGGAGGCACCTTCCTCAGTCTGGGGTTCCTGGTTTGTACTCTACTTCCCAAAGAGTATTGGAGTCCAACCTGAACTTGAATCTGCCTGCCATCCTGTCAGCCTTTGCCTCTCTCTATGTAAAGCTGAACCATGTCACTCTACCCCAAACCACTGGCTAGAACCCCACTTCAGTCAAGGCCCTGCTGCTATTATGATCATGAATGGATATTGCTCCTGACCAGAAGAGGCACTCACACCTAGCCAAACTCCTTAGAGAAATGAATGCCAGTCCCAATGGTTCCTGATTAGACATTGTGTCTTGGACAGCTAGACAAGCTTCTAGAGGTCAAGGCACACTGCCAACACAGTGTCTGTAGCTCTGGCCATGCTCCTGCCCCCTGTGCTGGCTGCCTGAGAATGCCAGTGTGATTCACAAAGTGTTCAAGCAGGTTTTCTAAGAATTAGCAACCCAGCTGCTAGCCCAGTTCATTCCCTCTTCCATATTTCTACGGTTACAGAATGAAATGTCATCACAGAGGGAAAGAGGAAGAAGGATGGTGAAAAGAACATGACTTTCAGTCCCAGAGAGCTTTCTGCCTCTTTTATATGACTTTGGACAATCTCTTAAAATTCTGATTCTTCATCTCTTCTCTCTTCCATTAATTTTTCTCTATTTTGACTTATCAAACTTAGAGAAAAGTCGCAAGAATACTACAAAGCATTCCCATGTACCCTTCATCCAGATTTCCAAAAAGTTTTCAGTTTCCACAGTTGTTTTCCCCTTTTCTCAGTCTCTGTATAAAGGCATGTGCTTGTGTACACACACACCACACGTAACAGTTTTTCTCTGAACCACTTAAGTTGCAGGTGCCATGCTCTCTTTCCCCTAAATACTTTAGATGATATTTTCAAAAACCAAGGATTTTTTTAAAACAAACCACAGTACAATGATCAAAATCAAGAAATCAACATAGAAACAATGCAATTATTAATATACAGTATTGAGATTCTGTCAATTGTCCTAATGTTTCTGTTAAAGCAAAAGAAAAGCCCAGATTGTGTCTTTTAAATTTTCTTTTTTAAAAGATTTTATTTATTTATTTTTTAGAGAGCAGAAGGAAAGGAGACTGAGAGGGAGAGAAACATCACTGTGTGGTTGCCTCTCGCTCACCCCCTACTGGGGACCTATGTGCCCTAGAACCCAGGCATGTGCCCTAGACTGGGACTCAAAATGGTGACCCTTTGATTCGCAGGCCTGCACTCAACTACTGAGCCACACCAGCCGGGGCTTAAATTTTCTTTAATCTGGAAACATTTCTGAGTGTTTCTTTAAATCCTATGATATTGGCATTTTTGAAAAGTATAGCCCAATTATTTTGTAAAATGCCCCTAATGTTGGCCTTGTCTGATGTACTTTTAAGGTTAGAGTCAAATTATTCAGTTTTGGCAGTAGTGCCACAGAAGTGATGCTGGGTTCTCAATTCATATTTGTTCAAGAAGGTACATGTTGTTGGTTAGCCCCATTACTAGCAATGTTAACCTGGTTCATTTGTCTAAGGTGGTATCTGCCAGTTTTCCCTAATGTAATAATATTTTATCTTTTGCAATTAAAGAAAGATCATTTGAAGATCTCTACTACTCCTTAAACTAGATGAATCCATTATTATTATAATTATTGCAAATGGCTTTCCTATTTGGAGTACTGGGCCTAGGGTAGAGGGTAAATATTCTTCACCAAGAGGAAAAATAGGTGATAATTCCTTCTGGTTTTTAAAAATTTTTTATTGTATTTTGCACACTAACATTTATCCCCCTTATACTCTCCTTCACCTTGCAACCACCACACTTTTGTCCATGTACATGAACATGAGTCTTTGCCTTTTTGCTTGATCCCTCCACCCGCTAACTGCCCCCCACCATAGCTGTCAACTTGCTTTCCACCTATGAGAATGTCTCTATTTTGCTTGTTAGTTCAATTTGTTCATTAGATTCCACACATAAGTGAGATCATATGGTATTTATCTGTCTCTCTGACTGGCTTATTTCACTTAACTTAATGTTCTCCAGGTCCGTCCTTGCTGCTACAAAGGGTAAAATCCACAGAATGGGAGAACATATTCACCAACACATCCGATAAGGGGTTAATACCCAAAATTTATTAAAAACGTACAAAACTCAACACCAAAAAAAAACCCAGACCATCCAATTAAACAATGCACAAAGGACCTGAATAGACACTTCTCCTTCTGTTTTTAAAAGGTGATTTGGTCTTCTTGTTACTGAACTACCAGGAACATTTAAGTAGAATATGGAAAAATTTAAAAGAAACAGCTAACATAAATAATGCATAACACTTAGAAAACTTGTAACTTTATTTTCCTATATTAAAAGTGTGAAATATTTCCAAATCCTTACATCTTTTATGGGGCTTTTTTTCTGTAGTAGAAATATTCATTTGAAGAATTGCATTTTGATTTTGAAGAATTACTTTTATCCATATGAACCAAATTGTATTTCCTCCCTTTTCTGACTTTTTTTTTCACCACAGCCATATCTATGGATGCTTTTGGTATAGATTTATTTAGCTAGCAATTCAGGTTTCTAAAGTTTATGGAACAACTTCAGAAAGTGACTATGTTTTCTCTTAGGATGTTTGTCATAAAATTTTCTATCTCATAGTATATATTTATATCTTGTCACTTCTATATGATAATCTCTGTGCCTCTAGAGTGGTACCAAACAGCTTTTGACCCAATCAATTCAACCACAAGGGTAAATTGGTTGAACAGAACCTGTAAAATTTTAGATTAGAGTCTAAAGTTTAGATTCTGCAATCTAAACTTTGTAATAATATGATAGGAGTCCACATATATATGGAGAGAGAGAGAGAGAGAGAGAGAGAGAGAGAGAGATTTTGGGACTACTGTCAGCAACAGTAAAGATACTGTTCATTCACTGGGAAGATAATTATTTTAAATAAACATTAAAGGAATATGTGAATTGATTCACAAAGCATACTTATAAAAAAGTTATGCACAATATAGAAGTGTTACCTTTTTAAAAAATATGAAAAATATGTATCAAAATACCACATAGGGTCCTACCAATTTATGATTCCATGTGAGGCACTAGAAGAATAAATTAAATGGTCTTGACTCTTCGAGAAGTTTATATATAGCTTTAGGCAATAAAAACTAAAGTGAATATTTAGTTGCTATGTGTGATACATATTATTTTTAAGCTAAAATATGCAACCTAATTGTATTTTTAATTTTTGTCAAGCAGTGTCATCAAATAGATAATAATAATCATTTTAATGAATAAAAGAAGAAAACCACAGATTATTCTTGTGATCAGGAGAAACAATAAGGAGGATTAACACAATAGTAATTACCTGAGCAGATGGATTCCTAATCCTAAAAATAAACATGCTAATTAAGCTACACTACGATATGACAAGACATTAAGGTCTTCTGAATCTAGAGAGATTGCATTCTAATTTACTAGTGTAACTTAATTCTCATTATATTAAAAAGTACTTAATCAACCAAATCTTTTTTTAATTATCAAATTTATTTAGGCAGTTTCAGTGTTTCTGTAAATTCCTTCCATGTGTGAGTTTCTATAGGGATAGACTTTGTCATTAGTGTATTCATGGTTTGCTCAATATTTGCATTTTCCATAGAGCAGGATTCAGTTTTGTTGTGTTTCTAATGAGACACTTTTTTCTGAATGTTGTCAATGGGTATTAACTGGAGAATGAAAGATCATAATGCTGACCCTTTCAGAGCTACCTTATGTTGCCTTCTTTTAGAGACAAAAATAATCCTTATTAGTAATTAAAATTTGCATTCCTTGGACTGGTTTAGATGAGTTATATTTTTTGATACATCTGTGATTGAACATTTTGGAGAAATTGAACAGGAAGAATGAGAATAACGGACAGAAGACAACATGTGTTAGTAAGTAAATATGAGAATCAGCAACGGAGACAGCTTTGTTATTTTCATACTTACATGTCCATGAGAAACTTAAATTACCTCATCAGTCACCAATCCACACAAGGTAGTTTTGGGGATGTTACCTGCAGTATGTATAATTAGCAAGACATAGCTTAATGGTAAAATGCATATCTTTGTGAAAGAAATAGACTTTAGGGTAAAATCTATTTCCCTAGAGTCATCTAGGGAAAAAATCTAGAGATGGTTTTGTTTGGTTTCTAATTGTTTCCCAGAATGTTTGTGTGCAGGAATGTAGGAATGAGCCTGTGTATGTGTGTGCGTGTGTGTGTGTGTTGGGGAGTGTATGCTATTTATATTTTAGCTGTAAACATTGTATGCACTTCTTTTGTATCAGGAGATATGTAAACTATATAAAAAGTGGTAAATATTTAAGACACATACAAATTTAATGCTCTTCATTTGTAATGTGATTCAACAAGCATTTATTGAAAACAGTGATATAAAAAACATGTGATTGGCAATATAGAGCTACACTACCTGAAAACCTGTATGGTCCCAAGCCCTTAGACCTCGCTTACTTAAAGCAGCAACATGAACCGGCAACACAGGCATTTCCCAGGAATTGCTAGAAATACAGACTTTCAGCCTCCACCCAGTCCTTCAAAACCAAAATCAGCATTGTAACAAGAACCTCTGGTGACTCAAATGTACATATGTTTTTTAAATCTCTTCTTCTTTAAGATTTTATTTATTTATTTTTTAGAGAGGGAAGGGAGGGAGAAAGAGAGAGAGAGAGAAACATCAATGTGTGGTCGCTGGGGGTCATGGCCTGCAACCCAGGCATGTACCCTGACTGGGAATCGAACCTGCGACACTGGTTCGCAGCCCATGCTCAGTCCACTGAGCTACGCCAGCCAGGGCTAAATGTACATAAATTTTGCAAAGCACCGTTAGAAGATCATTATCTAAGGAAATAAATAGATACTGTTTTTAAAAGCAATAATTTCATAAGAAATACTCAAACACAGAAGAAGTTATTAGAGATAATAATAGAATCGAATTCTGGTTACAGGGATTTGCTGCAGTTTTGAATCTGCCTTCTTCTGTGTTATACTTTCCAGAGATGCATTAGCATCTCCTAAAGGTATGTTCCTGGTCAAATACATTTGAGAAACCATGCATGAGGCTTACCACTGCTGTGTTTACAGTAGTATGTTAAGGATTTTAAGAAGTCCTGAAATAAATAAGTCTGTTTTAGTTAAGCCCAGGATTCCACAAATATACTTAAGGAAACTTTTATTTTCTTTGCATGGCATCATTAACATCCTTCAGAACTAACATTTTATGGAACACACTAAGGAACACTGCGTTTATGAGTTTGCAACATTTTGCTCATGAATTCTTGACTTGGATTCTTCTGCTCTCCATTAACTTCTCTTTTTTCTTTTCATAGTTAGAAAGTCTCCTGAATAAATTTAACCTTGAATATAGGTGTGAACAAAAAATACAATTTAATTCTGACACAATGTACATAATAATATAGAAAATCTGAGGCAAATTAATTCAGCCTTTCTGTTAAAAACCATCCAGCTCTGGATAGATAAAGTTGTCTTTGAACAAACAGCATGCTAAAGCTTGGCCCCCACATATCATTGAAATTAAGCCGGATCCTGCAAGTAATGAAAGGAAAGTTTGGGTTAACTACCAATAATGAATAATTCATTGGTGAGATGATGAATAAGAACAATTGTTGTGACTAAGATAATGTTCCTAAAACTGACATAGCATTTATCGATTGAGCTAAGAGAGGGTAGGTATATATTTTGTGCTGGTAAATTGTCGAAATTCAAAACTTCCTTCACGGAAGAATAGGTGCATGGTTCTGTCAAGTTAATAGTAGGGAGCTCTTAAACCTCAGAAACTCAAAGGCAATCAAGTCAAAGCATGTGCCAAGGAATTCACAATTCTCAATTCTTCTTGTAGCTTTTCAGACCTGTCTTTCCTTTGTGTTGTTGATATTTAAATGTATTTTATAAGGCATTTCTCTCTAATTATAAAAGGAAAACATCTTATTCACTTGGAAGTATTTTAAATATAGTTTTCAGATTTTTATTAAATAAATTTATTTGCAAAAATAACTACAAATGCAACTGCTGAATTTGCATTGTTGTAACTACAATTCATGTTTTAATTGAAATGTCAAGGTTTAACAACTGACATTGTTACAAAACAATAAACTACTTTCAATTTTACATCATCAGTTGTATTAGAGCTCAACAATTAACTGTGAACTATATTTATCTCTAGGAAACCCCAAATCAATAATGATAAGTCTGTTTCCAATGCCCACTGTAGTCATTCTTGAAACACTGATCAAGTTTTAACAGATGAACAATGACATGTTAATTAAAAAAAAGGGAAGACGCCTACAGTCTCTAACATTTGATTGGCTTAGGAGACAAAGGTTACCCAGTGCTAACACAAGACTACTGAGAAGAACAAAAAACTAAAAAACAAAATGAACAAACAAAAAACCAACAGTAACAAACAAAATAAGCACTTTCATATTCACACATAAACAGACAACATTCCCACTGGACAACTCTTGAAAATGAATAGCAGACATCCTTAGGCAACATGTTTTATGTAGAAAGGCAAATATCAGTAGAAGTTTTACCACAGAAAAGTAATGACAACTGTACTGACCGCAGTCCTAATTCTGCAGACTGCAGGAGTAAATCATCAACACCTTTCATTAGTTCAAGGAAGACTTTAAGTATTACTTTGATCAGATGCTGGCTTGTTTTGTGTAAGTTGAATAAAATGAAAACCATTAGTCACCATTGCTATCACAGTTTAAAAGAACCAAAAATAGTTACAACATGAAAGAAGTAAACACTTGAGCAGAAACCACCTTTGTATAAAAGTAAACACGACAAAACAAAAACAACTTATCATAATAGCTAAAAAAAAGTGGGTCTTTGAATCAAACTATAATTGTTTTAAGGCACGTTAGAAAAACTCCACTTGTCTAGTTGCTAGTCTGATCGGAGCGCAGTATAAACAGCAACACAAGGTCGCCAGCTTTTCTCTGTAGCCACTATTATTTCACGTGCCAACAAATTCAGTTGTCCTGTTTTTAAGCTTTTTATTAACATCTCAACAAACACTTCCATTCTAGCTGAGTTACATCATACCAGATAAAACATCAACAGTAAGGGCACATGAGGGTTTCCTGTTTCTGGATATTTTTGATGCTTTGTCACTAAATATGTAGGAAACTCTGTAATCAGGCAGCCAACTAAGTTATTATTAACATCTTTACAATAAAAGTTTACAATTATTGTCTGACACAAATGCTTCCAACTAAAATCCCAATTTTTAGATAATCTTTTCCACCTCACATTTTGCCCTACTTTTCATATTATTAAACTTATTTTTCTTGTCTGCATCGCAAGCCATTATGTAAAACTGCACAATCTTTATAGATGTTCCTAGTACAAAATCTCAGTTGTCATAAATTGCTGTTAAATATGGACTTCTAAAAAACAGAATCATTCTGAGAAGTTGGAAGCTTCAAAGCTCAACCAGTTCCCTAACAAATATTTGTATTTCAGTAGGTAAATTGTACTTCTTGACCCTTTGACTTCTCTGCATGTTGAGTCAAATCAACTTTAACACAATGAAATTTGTTTCAATAAACTTGGTTAGAACTCCCCCCCCCCAAAAAGAGGCGCTTCATAACGGGGGCTTATTTGAAAAAATCTATAATGAAGAATGCAGGTATTCATAGTTCAATGCCTTTTGACAACCATGGCCAGGTTTTACCCACTTATCTGTCTTCTCATCTATAAGAAGTTACTATCTGCCTTTTTCCTATCCTTTAAGCTTAATGCCAGCTTACTAAAACCTGGGAAGAAGGCTAACAATGATTTTAATGATGTATAACAAACACTTAATTTTAAAGAAAACGATGTTTTTGATATACTATATTCTGCAGCACGGATTCTCAGTATAGGCAATTATCTCTGACTTGGGCCAAAGTTTTAGGAACAATAAACACCCAGAGTTTTTCACCTACCTGAGTGATTTAGTTATATGAAAATGCCTTTGGCTCTGGTTTCATTGGCCCAATAACTCCAGTTTGTTTTAAAATATTAATCCCGCCTTACAGAGCTTTCATATACCTGTTGTTCTCTGAATGGCAGTCAGAGTATGACTTCAAAGAAAGACAAAGCTCTCTGAGGGATGAGCCCTTAGTGAATCAGAGGCCTAACAAGCCCATCTAAACTCCTCAGACATGGACACGCACCCAATGCGACACCAAGAGACAGGATTTTCAAGAGGTTGAGCCACTATTCTTTTATCTAAATTTTTAAATCAAGAGAAAACAAAAAAAGATGAGCTCAGACATCATTTGATGACTGTCCTCTGAGTAATCCAGCCCTGATTATTGAGACTAAAGTAGTCACTAAACTGTTTTACCCAATTCTATTGGCTGTTCCACTATGCTAAAGTTGACTCTCCTTGATGTCAAAGTGATGTTTGTTACATGACTTAACTCTCTAGGGCTCAGTAAATTTTGTGGCATTGCCAGTAAAACCCAAAGAAGTTCCTGTTTTTCATAGAGAAAAGATAATTTCCACTTGCAATTACAGCATGTCTTTCAGTATCTTTTTTCCAATTTACTAAAAATTTACACTTTGAACAATTTATACAAGATAAAATATTATTAGATAAAAATGATAAAACTTTCTACATATGTTTCTTGTATGCTCTAAATAATATTGCAGAAAAGTGTACATCTAAGGCATATGGATACGCAAGGTAAGTAGAGAACTAAATTCTAGTGAAGAGATTGGTAAGTAACGTGAGTATTGCTAATGCTGGTACTAGAAACACTCGGCTTCAGGGAAAAGAATGTGGCGAAGTGCTGCATTTCCATTTTTCATCACTAAGAAGGACACTGATTAAATAAAAAATATTGTAAAATTTACTGAAAAGAGAAAACTTAAGAAGTATTTTGTGGTCAATACCTGGCTTCACATAAAGAAAAAGCTTTAGAAAAGTCCACATTCACTTGGCTAATGTTCTTGCTAGGTATATGATTGATGAATTCAGTTGTTCAATTTGTGGGCAGAGAAAAATATGAAAGTAGTTTCTCTTCTTCTTGGACTACTGAAGTGACAGTAATGTCATTCATATGGAAAAAGACCCAAAAGAATATGTCACAAAAATATATCCAGTGTTTTAGTCGCTGTAATTTTAGAATGATAAAGCCTATGATCAGTCTTTTGGTTCAATTACCTGACCCATCTAAAGAATTTGTATGCCCCCAGTTTATATATAAATATATATTTATATTACACAAATATTATATATGTATATATAAAATCTATATAGGTAACATATATATAAATACCTAAAGCAGCCCACCAGTGTGATGCCAAAGGGAATTCCAACATAACTGCAATAGAAAAAAATGTGTTCATTTTCAAAACATACATTATTTTGTTACTCATAAAGAAATACTTCTGTTTGGGCAAAACATATCCACATAAAACAGAGAAATTTTATTTCCATCCATGAAATCAGGTATCCCTAAATTTGCCCTTAAGTCATAGTCTAAAAAGGTCATTTGTCAAGTCAGATAGTTTAAACTTCTCTCCTAGAAATGACGTTATAATGATCAAGTCTCAGGCCAGCTCACCACGTTGATTTGAAGGGACAGTCAGCGAGGACGGTCCCAAAACCATCCTGCACCCTCAATGCCTGGCTCTTTCTGAAGTTCCATGCCGTGTCACTGTGAACTCCATTCTGTTGAGAGATATTTGTGAAGCATTTTCTCTGTTCCACGTGTTAGGCAGTTAACTTGTGACTTTTCTGGATCCAGAATCAACTGCTTATCTCGACCTTGAAGACTGAACCACCTGATGCCCTAAGCCCTTTTGTGAGTATCCTGTGGCTACCATCCACAAAATATTAAGCCCCCAACTAAATTAGAGATCGAAGATGGTGGGAGTTCAATGGTCCTCCAAGTTACTGCAAGTTTTATGTCTCAGGAAATTGATGCTAGGGTATGGAGATTCTGGCATTTTCCAATAGCAGTGATGCGGGAATGTAGCAATTCATTTGAAAATTGTGTGTTCTTAAGTTGAAGACTGATTAAACCTTGAATAGACCAGGGCACTAAAAATATGAGTGATTTAAGTTGTTAGTAATAATAACTTTGAATTAAAACTTGTGGTTGATTACCACCCATACTTTGATTAGCATGCTTTTTTTAAAAAAATGGTTAGACAAGGGAGAAAAAGTTACAATGGAAGTACCAATTTTGAAGAAATGGATAAAGCTATCATTTACTCAGAAATTATTATATGCTAAACACTGTCACATAATTTATCATCCTCACTGAAACTTCACTAATTATCCCCCACTTAGTAGAGGAGGCAACTAATAATGTAAGCAATACTGTTATTTGCCTAAGGGTAACCACCTAATAAAAAAGTAGGATGAGAATTTGAATCCATTTTCTTCTGACTCCAAAGATTACAGGTAGAAATAAAAGCCCTTCAGTCTAAGAACACAGTAACTTTTCTAAAATAACTATCTGGTGTTGAAAAGTTTGCAATCCTTTGAGCACAGGTCTCGGGTTCCAGGTCCCAGTCTTCGGTCAATTTCTGCCTTAGGGAGGATTTTGTAGAAGAGTATTCTTAACACAGGCAAACTCTCTACAAGTTAATAAGTTGAATGTGGAACTAGAATTGGAAGCACCTACATTTCAGTACAGCTTTGAATTGGAAGATGTAGCTAAGCAATACCTTGCTGAGAAAGTGATAGAAGAATTTGGTGGGGAAGATGAATAAGGCGAGGGGGGTGAAAATCTTTCACCATCATTTTTTGTTATTTAGCCATCAGAGTACCATCTGCATACAACAAAGTTTTGTGTACTTTATTTTGTTTTGCTTACCTGTTGAAGTGATGGCAACATGGAGAATAGTTACTGAAATAGCATAATCCCACACCCATTCTTCCACAATAAGAGCAAAAAGCAATCCACAGATGAAGTAGGTGACTTCTGTTGAGATTAAAAGAACTGAAAATAAAAAGAAGAATATAACTATTTGGGATAAGAGTAACTAATAATTCTGAAATACAATTAGTAACAGGACTATTACAAGTCTTTCAGCAAAACAAATTCAGTAGGAATTTTCTTAATACTCCTTCTCTTAACAACCCTCAGATTTGGAAAAGAACTTTTCATATATTCCATCTTTAAATAATCATTAGACTTATAGAAAAATAACAATATATAATTTCTGTTTCACTTTCTTTATACTTAGCATTTTAGAAAAGTTACAATGTAACCAATGCATGTCGATCTGTACTTGGATTGCAAGTCTCATTTTTAAGATGTATTGAAAAACTAATGAAAACTTCAATTCTGAGTTTTCAAAAATAAAAAGAAAATGTAAAAATGTGGTAAACTATAAGGTGTTTTTGATATCAATCATAACCTAACTCGGAAATAAGTTCTTTGGTATCTTTTAATAAAGTGGTGCGTGCCTTCAGATAGTCACCTGGGAAAAATAACCGACAGCCGTGGATGAAAGAAAGCCTCACAAAGGACTCATGTGGATGGAGGCACTCTTCCAAACCCACCAGTTGTCTCAGACTGGTTTCCCTGAACACGCACGAAGAGCCAGGACCACATACAGGTCAGGATCACAATTCTCTGACAGCCTTCAACATGCGAAGGGTTTGCCTTTGTTTTTAACATGGAACTTTAAGACTGTAGTGGTTTGAAAGAAGATTCATCAAACTGTAAAGTGATAAATAGATGTGATATACCCCCAAGTTCCCTTTATAATAATATCACTTTCCATAACTATTATCTCTTTTCTCTTTAAATATGGCAAATGATTGGTAAGTTCATATAGGTCAGGAGTCGATAAATCTAGGCAGGTAAACTCATATTTTTTAGAAGCAAAAAAAAAAAAACCACCACACCACATTATGTTCTATTATGCAGAAGTAATTTATTAACCAGCAAGCCAGCAATTGCCCATTGGATGAGCAAGCCACCAAGTAAGCAAGTCCCAGGTGCCATTGTTGATTGAACAATGTTACCCATGTGAGGGGGTTGTTTTAAAGCATTTTGTTTGAATTCAGTAGTTCCAGCAGACCAAACTTCCTATGCAAATCACATTTGAAATCTGATTTCTTTGGTTGCAGGCCATTTTTGTATTTTTGCATATATTTTCCAAAAAAAGACATCCAGTAATTTCTTAAAAAATGTAATGTTTAAAGAATTCAGTTTATTTCTTAAAAGTAGAAAGACATTTAACAGAATGTTAAGGGAAATGATATTTAGAAAGCAAGTTTGGAATTGATTTTCTTCTTTTTCTCTTTTCTAATTGCATATACTTTATTTTTTGCTGAAAATATTTATTTTTTACACTAGTAAAGAATGCATTTAACTCTCATTACTTTTATACTAATTTTTGCCTTTGTGTGTACACGTGTTGATTGAATTTACTGGGGTGACATTGGATAGTAAAATTATATAGGTTTCAAGTGTACATTTCTATGATAAATGATCTGTATACTGCATTGTGTGCTCACCACCTAAAGTCAAACCATCTTCCGAAATTGTATGCTTTTTATAAGCTTTCATTAATTTACATGCATTATTTTATAATGGAAAATGACATTCAAATCTAATTTTTCTAAAGATGGAGCAAACTCACCATGAATGCCCCTAAGACAAGTATGGGTGGTGCATATTCAATACAAACAGGTGTTATTATTAATATACATAAGGTTTATGAACATAGTAGCTATTCATAATTATTCCTTCAAAAAATAATAAACTTAAAAAAGAATTTTCTTTTCTTAGTACATTTTTTCTTATCATTACCTTTGCAACAAGTTTTATACTATTTGGGGGAGAACAATCAAACAAAGCAGAAATGTGTGAAGCAGAAAATGAAAGACCTCTGTCATCCCAGCTGGAAAATAACAGTTTTTTTGCATAATTTCTTAGTACTGACACCATGAATTTTACTCTTCTACAAAAATGAATAACTATACTATACAAATTCTTCTGTAATCTTAATTTTCCATTTCATACCTCACAATCATCTTTCTATATCCTCACATCAAATCATTCTTCCCTTTTTATGGAAAAATACTTACTGCACAAAATTTTACCCATAATGCCTCCAAATAAAATTTCAGATAATAGTACTATCTACTTATTGCAGTTATTCCATGCCATTCTTTTAGGAATAAACATTTTAAAAAATTTTATAGCACTTTCCCATATTAAATTGTGAAGTCCAGTCTAAGATACATATGGCTGACAGAAAGGGCTGATATTTAAAAACATTTTATAAAGCAGAAAACTGTTTTGATTTTTGGAGGTATTTAGCTCACTAACTGACAAAGATTCAAAATGAAAACTGATTACCTTGATAACTTGTGTTGAGCCATGAGGGGCATGTTTTGAAGTCAAACGGTGCCAGGAGACTGAGTTCATACACCCTGAAGATGTGGCAAATGAAAACAGTTTACTCTGGAGCAGGCAGTACATGGCTTTGCACGACAAAGTTTGCACAGTGCTCTTCACACACATTAGCTTTACCCTCTTTGTGGCACATTTAAAAACAGGCTGACTTGGATGGCAGCCAAATAACCTCTTTATCTATATTGCCTTCTTTGTCCAATTAAGTCCACAGTGTCCACCAAGTGTATTTCATTGTACTTGAGATCCCCGCTGCAATCTTGGAAGTCCCTTCCATCAAATGTGGGAGGAAAACCCAATACTGTGGCAAGAGCACAGGGTTTAGAAACAAGAACCAGGCTCTAATCCTGATGGAGTTGTTCACTGTGAGCTTGGGCATGTCACGGAACCCCCTGGGCTTAGTTTCTTATCTGTAAATTGAAACGATTAATCTCTGAGATCCCTTCCTGTTCCAAAATCTGAGTCTATTAAGTACACATCTTCTGCTGTACCTAAGTTTGCAGTTGTGTGCAGCTGATCAATCAGTTAGCTGCTTTTGGAGCTTTTACTTCAAATCCCTGGCCTCTGACTCACATTAACTACAAACCCTGGAAACCCCATGCTCAGAGAGCCCTGAAGATTCTCAGCCCTTCTCTGCTCCAGGCACAGCCTCCCCACCTCCAGTCCCAGGCGACCGCTAAGGCGAGTGTGTCAGCTCCAGAAGCTTCCTCAGTGGGTTTGCCGGCAAGCATGCTTCATAACATTCTTCCCATTGCAAAACTTGGTATAATTAGTTTTGGCACTAAATTTCATATTGAAATGGTAAAGCCTAACTCCTTGCTCACAAAATAAAATTAAATTGTATAAACAATTGATTTCTAGGGAATTATTTGTCAAAATACATAATGTGTTTCAAGTAAATCAATGTATTGACAATGTAAATTTGTAAAGACAAAATTCAACCATAGCAAGACAAAGAAATTTCCTGGGGGGGGAAAGATTACACATTTAAGTAAAAATGGTATTAAAATTACATGGATTACTTTGTCCTCACAATAACCCCCTTTTGGATTATGACCTTCATTAGACAAATGAAGACAAGTGAAATCGGAGAAGCTCTATCACTTGGTCAATAAGAGCAGGAAGATTTTAAGAACCTGGGCCAAAATGCAGATCTCCTAACTTACAACCCAAAGCTATTTCCAGCACATACAGGAAATATTTCCTTTGAATGTATATTATCTCTAAATTCTCTTCTAGTTCAAACATCTTCTGATCCAACACACGCGGAGGGAGTGAGAGCTTCACTTTTTTCCATGACGATTCTCCGGAGGTAAAAAGATGAGTCCTGCCTGGTTCTATCCACTGCGTTTCATGAGTGTTACTTTTATCATTTTCAGTGATGGTACATTTGCTCATTTTCACTTTTACAAAAGTGAGAAGATACACATTTTTTAAAAGTCTGCATCCTCTAGTTCATAAAGGCATGTGAAGTATTAAATATGAACTCCTTCCATGGTCGACTTGAGCTTTCTAATGCTGTGTGAAGGCAACGTGCTACTTACTGGAGCGCCATGCAGCCCACGCTGAGGACCACGTAGTATACAGTGTAGAAGAGGATGACACATATGAGAAGGTTCTGCAAAACAACCTGCAGAGAAGACAGGTGTGAGACCCAAGAGCCTGAGCTTCTTCCCACGGTTGTTGGTAACAAGTCGGACAAACCAGAGACAATGAATGACTACTCCATAGTACTGGCTGGCCTGGCTTTGCTCGGAGACCCACGCACGGGGTGGGATGGACCCCAGTGAAAGTGCTGCTGACCAGCAGGGCTGGCATATTTCACGTTTGCACCAAGGGTTAATGCCACATACAGATCCATGCCTCTTACCCTCCATCTACCACAACAAACTTCCTAAATGCCAATATTTATGTTTTGATAAATGATGATAAAAATGATAAAAATGATTCTAAATCTCAGTTGTCAAAATAGTGAAAATATGATGGTGGCTAAGAAATTTTGAAACATATGAACCAAAAAATACATAATAGCACGACAGTAATTAAACCTGTATGTAAGAACTCACAGAACAATTGGCTGAAACACAATAGATGATCCTGAAATGGACCCTACCACTTAACAAAACTTAAGAAAAAAGCATGGCAGATCAATGGGAACAAGGTGAGTTATTCAACAGATAGCACGGTGAAAATTGTTTAACTTCTAGATAGAAAAATTCCTTTAGATTCTAGTCTTTCACCAAACACCAACATAAACTTCAAATGCATTAAAGTATTAAATGCCAAGAAATAGAATGGGAGAAAATATTTGTAACATGTATCATAGGCAAAGGATTGATATTTACAATAAAAACAAGACAAACCAATAGAAACATGGACAAAATATAAAAATAGGGGGTTTACCTGCCTAAACATTTAAAAAGGCAATACACAATTGAAAATGTGCTGCACTTTACTATTAATCTTTTAGAATATATTCTTGTGAATATAATAAAAATGTCAGTATGTCACATGGGGGTTTTTCAGTTTATTTTTTTCCCTTTTGGATCTTTAAAGAAAATCATTTTGTTCAATCAATGCTTTAACACCTCACAAGTATTCTTTGTCTCTGAATGACCAAGTCACCAAATTTACCAAGTCTTCTACTTTACCCTGGGTACACAAGGAGCCCTCCCCTAAAGGCTAGAAGACGAAAGAGGTGGCACGGAGCACACAACAACCAACTGGCCAAATGGACCAAATGTACAGATTTACCACGAACTTATTTGTTCCAACTATCTAAAAACGGGCAAACTCTTGGGCCTAAGAGGCCATAGGAAACCAGGACTACAGGTTCCCTTCAGAATCCCTTCAGGATTGAATGTGGGAGGTGAGACATGGGTAGGGTAGGAGAGAGTAATGGCGGGGGAAGGGGACACCTGTCATTGAACAACAATACAAAAAATTTTTAAAATAAAAAAATAATTGTACTGAATGACTAAAGAAAAAACACTTTAGACGCCACCCAAATGACTGAACACAAAACTTCAGTATGAAACAATTATTATTGCACTTTAGCAAAATCCAGAATTTAAGAATCAGAATCTGTAAGTCTAGATTTAGCTACTACCAAATTTTTTATTCTTTAAAAATGTATTTGGATCCCAAATCAAAGAAACTGTAGAATAATTATGATGACATTTATGAGACATTTGACAACTTGATCTTGACTAATATTTGATGATGTTAAAGAATTATTAATATTTTAGGGTGTTATAGTGATATTGTGGGGTTTTGAGTCCTTATTTTTAAAGATACTTATGGAAATATTTGCAAGTATAATGGCATGATGACTGGTAGCTTCAAAATAAAAAGGAGGGAAAACAGGTGGACATACAGGTGAAACAAGGTTGAACTTGATTGGTAATTGTGGAACGACATGACGTGTGAATGAAATTCATGATACTATTATATTTATATTTGCATGTTTACTTTTCAATAATAATTTTGTAATAAAAATTCTCAATAAATCTATTTAGCAGTGAACATATTTACAAATCCTTAAAATGTGGTTTTATTAATGAAAATTTGAGGAATGTCCCAGTTCTTTAGCAGCTGGTGTAAGGAGTAAACTTGGTTTAATACACAGTCTTCCATAAAGATATTTTCCTTCTTACCCTTGATGTTCTGTATTTATTGTTTATTAGTTTATTTTGGGTAACCTGTGGTCTTTTTTATTTTCCTTTATACTATAATGCATTAATATCATAACTCTTAATGCTAACATTGCCCCAGATTTGACTAGTCTGAGCAACTACAAGATACTGTCTGTGTTTAGTTTACACATCCTCATTATTTTCTTTGTGCTTCCTTGGTCTCTCTCACAACCTGGCATTCTAAAAATGTCATCACTGTATTGCCATTTGCATTTTTTCTATTTGTGAGCTTTCTATCCTTTTCCATTGATCTCCCTGGCCTCCTATCTATTTGTGAATCAATACCACACTGTTTTAATTATGAAAGCTTTATAGTAAGTTTTAATACACCCTTTCCCCATTGTTCTTTTTTCAGGCTTCTCTTTGTTATTTTTATGTTTACTTTGTCATATATACTTCAAAATCTACTTCAATAGCTCCATAAAACAACTTTATGTTATTTTTATTGGGATTATGCTAAATGTATTATTAACATGGGAATAAATACAAGTTTATAATGTTATGTTATCCAAAACCAAGAAAAATTTCCAAATTTATTCAAATATATTTTTGTATCTTTTGAAAAGTACTTCATTTTTTCTTAAACACATATTATACACTTTCCGTTAAATGTATTCTTAAATTCTTTTTGCTAGCAACATAACCAAAGTTTTATCTCCTGTTACATTACCTAATTAGCTATTATTTGAAGCTTCTATTTCAGTTCTTATGGATTTATTGTTTTGTCTAGCCCAATTACATTATTAGTACCTCTAATATATGTTTAAATAGTAATAGAGTTAGTGGGTGTCTGTTCCTTATTTTTGGCTGTATTGTGAATGCCTCCAGTATTCTGTTAGGTAGTTTAGTGGCTTTACAGCTGCACTATGTGTGTGTGTTTGTGGGTATATGTGTGTGTGTAGTTTTAGATACATATTAACACTAAATAATAAATAATCAGTTTCTACTTTATTCAATGTTTTAATTAGGAATGGTTTTCAAATTTTGACAAAAGCCATTTTAGCTTCTATAAATATAATCATGTGATTTTCCACTTAGACTCACATACATGGTGGATATGTTAGTAGATTACCTAACATTGAGCCATCTTTGTATTTTGGAGGAAAATCACTTGGTCATGATGTTTTATTTTTGTAATGAGCTCTTGCCTTCTGTTTGCTAATATTTCATCTAGTGTTTCTCCATATTGTTAAGTGAGATTGATGTGTAGTTTATTTTTTGTGGTATCTTTACAAAGTTTAGATGGCAATGGAATGCTTGTTTCATAAAAGTATCTTGCAGTTTTTCTTTTCTATACTTAGAAATAATTGAAGTAGCATTGGGAGTATATGGCCTTTGCAGATTTAGGAGAACTCCCCTGTGCAACCTGTGCCTGCCTCTTTTACAATAACCTCTTGTACTTGGTCTATGAAACCTGGGAGCTCTTACATGATTTTACAAAGCAGAATGCTCCCATTAACTACGGCAGATTTACTCTTCTCCACAGAGGGAATACAATATATTCTTCAAAGTCTAGCTCAATGTTATATTCACACTTCACCCCAAGTCAAGGTCAAAATCGATCCTGCCGTACTTCTTTGCATCCATAGCATTGTGCATCTGTCTTACAGATTTGATCACCTGTGTTGTGGCGTACTTGTTTATGGAGGTGCCCACTTCTCTAGACTCTCAAAGACAGAGACAGTGATTTAATCAGTTTGATTCTTCAGCCACAAAAATAATGTGTAGCTCTTGGTAAGTGTTCAATACATATATTTTTAATAATAACAAATGAAGAGAAGAAAAACAATGAAAACCCACTTAGTCTATAGTCTATTTGTTTAAAATGTGGACCCTAGGGTCAGATAACGCTAGGATTTCTTTTTCAGTTCCTCACTGGCAAGGTATGACATTGGCCACTTACACTCTGCATTTTGTTCTACTCATCTGTAAAATCTTGCAGGAGTTCTGTTTTCAGCACACGTGTGAAATTCCCAGCATAAGTACTCTATGTGCTTAGCAGATCACCTGCCTCTACTTCTCCCACATGAAAGCCTGCTGCTTGGTTCTTCAGACAGTTCCTAGGGTGACCGTGAAATACGGCTCCCCGACCTGTAGTATCCTAGCACAGGATCCAGTTTGCTAACAGTGCTCTCTTCTGAAAGTGTCTGTACTGGTGAATTCTCCAGTTCAGGTCAACAACCGCTAGGAAATGCAGGAACGTGTTGTGCCTCTGACATTTTTACTTGCAACATTTGTTTTACAATTGTAATTTTATATTAGTTTAATGTAGTTATGAAATGTGTATTCTACTGGAGTTCTGAACAACAATGCATTGTATTCTGAACAACAACGTAGCAGTCCTCATACCTGGGCTTTCTTCCCAGTTCCTGTGCAATTTCCCCAGACAGCAAATTAATTAAATGGCCTTTGGCCATGAGTCTTTCCCTTGAGTCAGCTTTTCTCTCATTTAAAATGTAAGGATAGGGGGGATTTAATTAGCCCAATGCCTGGCACATTGCATGCACTCAATAAATATTTGTGGAGTCTTGGAACTCTCTCTAGACAAAGGTTGCTTTTGCTATTACTATTAATTTATGAGCATATCAGTGATTCCTGTGCTGATATTATTGACACTGAACAGGACTTAAGAAAAGTTAACTCATAACTTACAGGGATCTATCATAAGAGTTCAGATGAAATTTCAACAACTCGCTTATTTTCAACATATTCACTATTGGTCTAATGTTCTAAGTCTGTGATTTCACATATAAAACTCTGGGATTCTAAAAAGGTGAAAAAACTGCAGCAATTACCTAAACATTTTCCCCAGAAGGTGTGCATATGTAAGCCCAGACTAAATATAGAGTCCTTAGTCCCCATTCTTTACGTAAGCTACTTAAAGGAAAGGATATTATCTTTTAATTATTCTCTCTCCAGCCAAGTTATATTGCTAGTTTGATACCAAAACTATACATCAATTATAAACAGTTTAAAATCCTTTTAAAAATATGTTTTTATCTAAAATATCTTTCCTGATACAATTTTTTTTTTACTGATTTAGAAAATGTTTCCTAGCTGTTGCCATACGTCACAATTCTTACTGATGATGTGTGTTGTGAGGATGGCAGTGAGCAGAAAACACTTGAGAAAGTGCACACAGTGCTGATGTTTTACTAAAATGAATACAACATCAATCTGAAATCATAATTTAATTTTTAAGTAAAAATCTGATTTTCCAGTGTCAATTCCCTGCAGGCCAGGTCTTTATAAGCTCGTGTGAAATCATTCAGCTGCTCTGAGACTTTGCATGTTTCCTTGTTTTAGGTGTTTTGATTTTTTTAAAGGGTGTATTTTTATGCAGAAATAAAATACAGCGATGAACACTACTAGCCTGAGGGGGGAAATAAACTAACACAGCTACAGCTTAAAAATGTTTGAATACTTTGCCTCTAAAGATCTTGTGCATCCTTTAGAAGTTGGAAAAATAAAAGCTGCCTCTTGCCACAAAAAAAGACTGAAGACAAACTGTCATGATTTCAGAAAACAAGAGCTGAACTACAGGTGCTAATACTAGAAAGTTCGTCTGTGAGTAACGTGGTCCCTTCAAAATCGCTACTATTTAAACGTTTTAGATCCTTCCTGGGCCGTAGGTGCCGCTCTGTGGTCGCCATTCTCATACCAGCAAGAGAGCTGCAAAATGTTTTCTGCATAGTACCTAGCCAAAAGTGAAACAAGTTGCTACTGAAAGAGAGAACATTTATAGAACATATTTGCTTACATCAGTGCTAGGCAGTAACAGAGAGAGAATGCAAAGAAGAATTCTCTTTACCTTGCTTGGAGCAACTCTGACCTGGAGAGCCATGTACACATCCTATGTCAATGAAGTGGTGAGAGCCACACTCCTTATGTCAACGACATCTGGAAACAGAGACAATTGTCACTGTGAGCTTTTCAATTACTCTTGAAGACTAAGCGTGAGATGCAATAGAGCAGGATGATTGGATTACACAAAATGAGACAGAAGCCATCTGTGAGCCATCCGTAAGCTACTGAGTGCCAAAATGAACATCCTTATTAGAAAACTGAGTTCTCATACCATTTGTAGTTTGGTCAGATTTGAAAGATGAGCTGATTGTTTTTAGACACTGCTGCAAATAGGCAAGGACTTGAAATTCTCCCTGGCTGTATGATTAATGTCTGTCTCATACTTAAATTAGAAACATGGGTTTTCAGTTAGGAGGTCTTGAGATTGTCTTCAAAGGATGCTGCTGCCATTCATGGTGAAGCGTGGCCTGTCCCCTGTGTTTCCTTCCCCAGGACCACAGACTTCCAGAAAGAGAAATCATTAAACCCTCTTACATCATGGTAAAGCAATATAAAAATTCTGACTGTTGGAAAACAGAAAGATTTCATGCTCTAAAATGGCAGCCTTGCTACAGCCAGTGCCATGTTTTGAGAACTGCCCACGTGCAGTACTGGAGGTCTCTCTGTGGCCCGAGGCTCCAATCCAGAACCAGTCTTTCCCTGACCATATCTCAGAGGCCCTTCCTCTTTCGATAGACACCCTCTTGTAGGTGGGAATTTACCTGTGTTTTGTGGTCCTTCTCCCAGTTGTAGCATCCTAACTTTCATACAGAGTACATTCTGCAAAATATGTTTTCAACAAGCCCAGGATTTACTGTTTTTCTTCTGGGAATATTTTTAAATCTGAGTTTCATGAGGTATATTAATAACACTATCAGTGTTCTTGTACTGATAAGCATCAGACAATTCCTTTAATTTGTAGGTGCCCTGTGTCTCTGCTTACATTGTGAGTTTTTGCAGAGAAAGACTCCCTCTTCTGCCTGCTAATAACTTTGTAACTGCTCCCAGTATCTGCTTCAGATGTTGGCACAGTGGACCCTCAGTAAATGTGGTTTGATTGCTCAGATCCTGTGCCTTGCCCTGTTTGTAACAGCAGTGGGCCAGCTTTTTTTTTTTCCCCCCCTAAAAAGGGCAGAGAGAGCTCCCCGGATGTGAGACGTAGTCCAGTGCTGAGCGCAGATCCTGTGCTTCACTTCCTCTACTCAACACCTTCAGTGTTCTGTGTACGGCTCAGATCCCAGTGGACTTCGGCTCAACAGAAACCACCCAAGATTTAGCCTCTTGATACATAGGAAGCCCACACTAATTTCACTGCAACCACTCCAGTGGATAAAATATTGAAAAGTAATAATTTTCTGTTTTGTTTGTTCATTTATACTGTTCTTCAGATTCCACAAAGAAGTGAGATTATATGGTACTCATCTTTCTTTGACAAGTTCTCAGAGCATAATACCCTCTAGTTCCATCCATGTGGTGACAAATGGTAATTAAAAAAAGGAGATTTTAATTTTCTATTATCACATTAGAAAAATTAGCATATTGGGGAGAGATTGTGTGTATCTGAGTGTGGTTACAAGTACAACAATAAACACTTTTTATCTGAATGACTCTTATGATCTGTTTTGAAAGTTAGGCATGATATGGAGACAAACGCCGTGTACATTCAGTCACTCTAATTCTGCTTTCCGAGTTTGCCACCAGACTGATAAAATGTGTACACAAGTAAATAGTATATATGAATGTATATGTACATATATGTACCTGCACATACATACATTTCTTTTTATTCAGCACACTCATATGGAAGTGAAAGAATAAAATATGGAAAACTCTTCTAATTCTTGGATTCTGAATTGTGCTCCTTGACATTTTATCATGTTTTAAAGTATTTTCAGCCCCTTTGTATCATTTGTACCCAGAGTTCTTTTTAGTAAAACCTAACTTAGCTACTAGATAGAGACATTCTGAAACAAAAGCTTTAAAGAGAGATTTCCAAGACAACAATACCTAAGTTACAACTTCTTCCTCATAAATGCAGATGGGAGAAGGAATTTCAGTCCACAATCACCAAATCTGAATCTTTGAGGCCAGATGTTTCTAAATCCAGAAAATTTTGAATTTTAGACAAGTAATAGGATTAATATAATATATCGTATCACACATGCAAGGGGTCTGGAACTTTACTCTGTATTCAGACACATTGTTCAAGTGGCAAAACACGAATATTTATTCCAAGTGGGATAAATAAAACAGGTAAATAATTTTATGTCAATTCAGGTAAGGTTCTGCCACCAAGCTAGCTCAGATCAAGCACTTTTCTACCACCAGAAGAGAGATAAAAGTAATTTTAGAACTTCTTAGGTTTTGGCTCCATAAACAACAATTGTGAGCAAGAACAAATTTAATCATAAGAATCTAAAGATTGGGGTTAATGACTAAACTCCAAATACATATTTTTTAAATACATGATCTTGATTATATATTTTCCATACCATTTAGTCCCCTTACACCCCCCTCCCCCCAGCAATCACCACACTGTCGTCCACGTCCCTGAGTCCTTTCTCTTTTTTGCTCAATCTTTCCACCCCCTAACGTCCCCACACCCTACTAGCTGTTCTCCATCTATGAGTCTGTCTCTGCTTTTGCTTGTTAAATCAGTTTGTTCATTATATTCTACATATGAGTGAAATCATATGGTATTTGTCTTTCTCTGACTGGTTTATTTCATTTAGCATAATGTTCTCCAGGTCCATCCATACTGTTGCAAAGGGTAAAATTTTTTTCTTTTTTATGGCTGAGTAAAATTCCATTGTGTAAATGTCCCATAGTTGTTTTATCCATTCATCTATTGATGGACACTTGAGCTGCTTCCATATCTTGGCGATTGTAAATAACATTGATGAACATAGGGGTGCTTATGTTATGTCTAATCAGGAACCATTGGGACTGGCATTCATTTCTCTAAGGAGTTTGGCTAGGTGTGAGTGCCTCTTCTGGTCAAGAGCAATATCTACTCATGATCATAATAGTGGTAGGGCCTTGGCTGAAGTGGGGTTCTAGTCAGTGGTTTGGGGTAGAGTGACATGGTTCAGCTTTACACAGAGAGAGGCAAAGGCTGACAGGTTGGCAGGCAGATTCAAGTTCAGGTTGGACTCCAATACTCTTTGGGAAGTAGAGTACAAACCAGGAACCCCAGACTAAGGAAGGGGTCCCCTCTGTGCTTCCTGTGTGATTCCATCATTGTACTTGACACCTTTGAAGTTGCCACTGAATTTTTAATATACTAGTTGGCCAAAAAGTTCATTTATTGTTTTTTTTTCCCCATAAGATGGCTCTACTAGTGCTTAGTTGTCTTTAACTTCATTCAAAACAATTTTGTCAGATTGTATTGTGACAGCTGTCATATCTGTGTGCATATAAAAAAACTTATCAAAATGGGTGAATTTTTGTGTAGCCATTTTAATATTGAAGATGGAAGAAAATAAGCAACATTTTTGGCGTATTGTGCTTTATTATTTCAAGACAGGTAAAAATGCAACTGAAACACAAAAAAGATTTGTGCAGTGGATGGAGAATTAGTGGTTTGGGTTCCTTCAAATATATTTCCAGAAGTGGGATTGCTGGGTCAAAAGGCAGATCCATTTTAAATTTTTGAGGTATCTCCATACTGCTTTTCACAGTGGCTGCACCAGTCTGCATTCCCACCAACAGTGCAGGAGTGTTCTCTTTTCTCCCAGCAAAAGCACTTGTTGTTTTTTGTTTGTTTTATTGATGATAGCCATTCTGGCAGGTGTGAGATGGTATCTCATTGTGTTCTTTATTTGCATTTCTCTGATGATAGTGACACTGAGCATTTTTTCATTTGTCTGTTGGCCATTTGTACATCCTCTTCAGAGAAGTGTCTATTCAGGTCCTTCATCTATTTTTTAATTGGATTGTTTGCTTTTTTGATGTTGAGTTTTGTAAGTAATTTATAAATTTTGGATATTAACTCCTTATCAGATGTATCAGGGAATATGTTCTCCTATTCTGTGGGTTGTCTTTTTATTTTGTTGATGCTCTCCTTTGCTGTGCAGAAACTTTTAGTTTGATGAAGTCACATTTGTTTATTTTTTTTCTTTTGTTTCCCTTGCCTGGGGAAGTGTATCTGATAAAAAAATTCTATGAGCAATATCCAAGATTTTGCTGCCTATGTTTTCTTCTACAATTTTTATGGTACCAGGTCTGACAATTAAGTCTTTGATCCATTTAGAATTTATTCTTGTGTGTGGTGTAAGAAGGTGGTTTAGTTTCATTTTCTACATGTATCTGTCCAATTTTTCCAATGCTTTTTATTGAATAAACTATCTCTAGCCCACCATATGTACTTGCTTCCTTTGCTGAATATTAATCCACTATAAAGGTGTGGGTTTATTTCTGGGCTCTCTATTCTGTTCCGTTGATCTATGTGTCTGTCTTTATGCCAGTACCAGGCTGTTTTGATTGTTATGGCCTTGTAGTATCGTTTGATATTATGTAACATGATTCTTCCAACTTTGTTCTTCTTTTTCAAGATTGGAGTTGCTATGAGGGGCCTTTTGTGGTTTCATATAAATTTTTTAAATATTTGTTCTAGATCTGTGAAATATATCATTGGAATTTTGATAGGAATTGTGTTGAATCTATAGATTGCTTTGGGTAGTATAAACATTTTAATATAGTTAATTCTTCCTATCCATGAACATGGTATGTGCTTCCACTTGTCTGTATCTTCTTCAATTTCTTTCTTCAGTGTCTGATAATTTTCTTAGTAAAGGTATTTTATATTCTTGGTTAGGTTTAACCCTAGGTATTTTATTCTTTTTGAAGCAATTGTGAATGGGATTGTCTTCTTAATTTCCCTATATGTAAGTTTGCTATTGGCATTTAAAAATTGCAACTGATTACTGAATATTAATTCTGTATCCTGCTACTTTGCTGAATTCATCTACCAGTTCTAGTAGTTTCTTGGTGGAATCTTTGGGGTTCTCTGTGTACAGTATCATGTCATCTGCAAATAAAGACAGTTTTACATC